AAAAAGTTAAAAACAATTTAAAAGCAATAAAACATTTAAAATTATCGGCAACCGAGCTTTCGTCGGACTCTCCCGACATCATCAGGGTTGCTGAGGCGGTGTTTGGGAGGGTTTATATACAATTCACACATGCCTGCATCCGGCTGCGCGAGCGCGTAACCGGACCTCGGTACACGCGCTCCTGCGCGGTGCCTGTTTTTAACTTTTTAATTGTTTATAAACATTTTATCTTCTCTTGGTGATCGTGGTTATTTGGACACTATATGGAAGCACCCAAGAGTCGTATTTTTAATTCTATTTCTAGCCATATTTTACTCTTTTTACAATATCTTTTGCCTTGCCGCCCCCAACTAGGGGCATAGAGCAGGCTCAAGTCGCAACTGCGAAATATTTTTATATCCAAATTTCTTTTTTTCTGACAAAGAGTAAAGAATTAAATTGGGAGACTAAGATGGACCATTTCTGGCTTTTTTTGCCTTCATCAGTTAGCCATACCCTTTGGATATATATATATATATATCCAAAGGGTATGGCTAACTGATGAAGGCAAATATGGCATATAGCAGTGATGGCGAACCTTTTAGAGACCGAGTGCCCAATCTGCAACTCAACACCCACTTATGCACCGTCGGGTGCTGGGTGGGTGGGGCCCATTGGGTGGGTGTGGCCCATTAGGTGGGTGTGGCCCATTGGGTGGGCGTGGCTACGGTAATAACGGCAGACTGGGTGGGACTAAAAAGTTCAATCAATTCCAACTTTGCAAGATCTTTTTTTTTCCCCGTGAGAAGTTGAAATTGACTGATTGATTGAACCTTTTTTTTTGTTTTGCACACGGAAGCGGTGGAGGCCTAAAGCGAAAAGGTTTTATAAAACCCAGCTGAAGGCCTAGGACTGGGGCGACAGTATGCGTGCCCACAGAGAGGGCTCTGAGTGCCGCCTCTGGCACCCGTGCCATAGGTTCGCCACCACTGGTGTAAACAATCCGTAGTAGCTTAATAGCAGAATTGGCGTAAAGTATCGCAGTTGATGAGAGGGAGAAGAAGTGCACCGATAAAGCATCGCGATTTAAATTCCGCTTTTAATTTCCTAAAAGTCCAAATGTTGAGATCAGGCAGCAGTATTTTAATGGGTTTTGGGTAGTCCTTGATTTAAGAAGCCTAGTGAGGCCACACCTGGACTACTGCAGCCAGTTTTGGCCACCACATCACAAAAAAGGTGTTTAGACTTTGGAAAAAGTTCAGAGAAGGGCAACTAAGATGATCCAAGACCTGGAGACCGAAACATACAAAGAACGGCTGCAGGACTTGGGTCTGGCTAGTCTAAAGAAGAGAAGAAATAGGGGAGACAGGATAGCAGTCTTCCAATATCTCAGGGGCTGCCCCAAAGAAGAGGGAGTCAAGCTATTCTCCAAAGCGCCTGAAAGCAGGACGAGAAACAACGGTTGGAAACTGACCAAAGAGAGAAGCAACCTGGAATTAAGGAGAAACTTCCTAACAGGGAGGACAAATAACCAGTGGAACAGAACTTGCCCCCATGGAGGTTTTTAAAAAGAGACCAGACAGTCACTTGTCTGAGATGGTATAGGTCAGTGATGGCCAACCTTTTAGAGATCGAGTGCCCCAAAATTGCCTGCCCCCCCTGCCCACAGGGCCACCCACCGTCTCCACGGCCGGCCGCAAATCGCCCAGGCAGCCCAGCAGCGCCATGGCGGCCACGCCCTCCACCTGCACCCCACAGCATCAACTGCGCATGACGGGACGCGAGGGCAGAGTCTTGTCCCTGCTGCCCAGCTGCCATGTCCTTGGCTGTGCTGCTCCGTGCAGGCCACGCCCGGGGGCAACTCTCCCCCGGGGGGGCTGCTGGTGAGGAGGGGGCCGTGGGGGGAGGCAGGGCTGGGGCGACGGCACGCGTGCCCACAGAGAGGGCTCTGAGTGCCGCCTCTGGCACGCGTGCCATAGGTTCACCACCACTGGTATAGGTTCTCCTGCTTGAGCAGGGAGCTGGACTAGAAGACCTCCAAGGTCCCTTCCAACTCTCTCCTCTCTTTTCCTGCTCAGGCAGGAAACCCTATACCATTTCGGACAGATGGCTTTCCAGTCTCTTCTTAAAAACTTCCAGTGTTGGAGCATTCACCGCTTCTGGAGGCAGGTGGTTCCACTGGTTAATTGTTCTCACTGTCAGGAAGTTTCTCCTTAGTTCTAGGTTGCTTCTCTCCTTGACGAGTTTCCCTCCTAGTTGCTTCTTGTCCTGCCTTCAGGCGCTTTGGAGAATAGCTTGACTCCCTCTTCTTTGGGGCAGCCCCTGAGATATTGGAACACAGTTATCATTAAACAGTGACATACATTCTCTTTATTAAACTATAGTTCCAGGTTTTTTCTCTCCTTGATGAGTTTCCATCCGTTGCTTCTTGTCCTGCCTTCAGGGGCTTTGGAGAATAGCTTGACTCCCTCTTCTTTGGAGCAGCCCCTGAGATACTGGAAGACTGCTTATGTTATTGCTAACAGGAGCAAGATAAATTTTAAGCTACTTAAGTAGAACTAAGATTCTGTCACGGCAATCAAAGTTTTCCCCCCATCCTTCATCCAAACATTTTCCAATCTTTTCGACATTTCACCGAGTGGAAGGAACAAAAGTGATTCCAGATTCTCTCTTGATTACTGTGTCCAAATGGGATAGTAGTTTGTTAAAATATATATATATACAGCATCTGGATTTCTTTCTAAATGATTTGCGTGAAGCGCTTGGGTGTTTGTGTTTGATCGTGTGTGTGTGTGTGTGTGTGTGCAGGAGAAGAAAAATGAAATCGCGTTCTTGATTGCTTCCCCAGGATCGCCGGCAGAGCTGTCTCCTAGTACCCTCTCTCCTGTCAATCACAGCCTAGGTAAGAAGGGAACCCTTCCAGCAGCTGCATCGGATAAAAACCTCTTTTGCATTCAGAAATAAATAAGAAGGCAGAAATTCTGAGAGAAAGTTATTTTTATTGAATTGACATAATAAGAATTGTACTAGTTTTAAACATGAGACAGTAAACACAAAAGCGAAAAGAGAAGAAATGTTTAATGTAACAGTTTGAGACTTGTGCTAAAGAGATTGGTAGGTTATCGAATTATCGATTAGCTCAGCTGCCACGTTGCTTTTTAAAGATTTCAATGTAAAACTAGAAAATTAATAAAACTTAAAAAAAAAAAAAAAGGCGGAAATTGCATGAGTTGGCACTTCTGCCTGCTACATGTTTCAGGTTTAAAAAAACCAAAAAAAACCCCAAAACCCCTGTCCTGTGATTTAGGGCAGGGGTGTCCAGCCTGGCCCACTTTTAAGACTTTGTGGGCTTTAATTCCCAAGCGGGCTAGGAAAAATGAACTTCCAGGCAAACTCATTTTTCCCCTTGTCGATAAAAGGAAGAGATGGCAGGAGCCTTTGCTGAAATTAAGAGGTTCAGATTGCGAGAGGAATTAGAACAGGGGTCTTCCAACTTGGCCCTTTGATGACTGGTGGACTTCAACTCCCAGAATTCCTCAGTCGGCCATTTTGATGAAACTGCAGGCTTGGATCCAGACCAGGGGTCTTCCAACTTGGCCCTTTGATGACTGGTGGACTTCAACTCCCAGAATTCCTCAGTCGGCCATTTTGAGGAAACTGCGGGATTGGATCCAGACCAGGGGTCTTCCAACTTGGCCCTTTGATGACTGGTGGACTTTAACTCCCAGAATTCCTCAGTCGGCCATTTTGATGAAACTGCGGGCTTGGATCCAGACCAGGGGTCTTCCAACTTGGCCCTTTGATGACTGGTGGACTTCAACTCCCAGAATTCCTCAGCCAGGCACGCATGCCTGGCTGAGGAATTCTGGGAGCTGAAGTCCACCAGTCATCAAAGGGCCCAGTTGGAAGACCCCTGTGTTATATATAGCATTTCCTGAGGTAAAAAGTAGTTGAGGAGCGGAACAGACATGGTGAATTATTACTTCATTGAAGGAATAAAGAATATAAGCCCTTTCTTGGCTTTGCAGATTCCTCCATTGGACCTAAATGTTCTCCTTTTGCCCTTTCCCAGCCCATTTTATTATTCTAAATGCAGAAATAGATTGCCATATATAACAATAATGAAACACAATTATGACCTGCCGTGTAATAAAGACTTTCATAATATGCATGGTTGATAATTTGGCTGAGTTGAACCTTGCTGAGATTTCAGGACCACGGGAAAGAGGAATCAATAATCCGTGGAAAATGAAGGAACTCTCCAGTTGGTTTTTGAAATACTTTGTGCCACATAGGTTTAAAACAGGGGTCTTCCAACTTGGCCCTTTGATGACTGGTGGACTTCAACTCCCAGAATTCCTCAGCCAGGCACACGAGGAATTCTGGGAGTTGAAGTCCACCAGTCATCAAAGGGCCAAGTTGGAAGACCCCTGAGTTAGAGTAATCATACTTTTTAAAATAAAATGTATCATATTTTTATTTTACCCGTTGAAAGGGCAATTCTTAGAGTAAGTGAAGGAGGTCCCTGGACCCCCATTCAGACAGAGCTTTTTTGATGGCGCTTTCGTTGCCAACCAGGACCGTGCCAGTTCTGTTTCAAGAACCAGGATTGCCAGACTGTTGCCCAATCGTGGCTACTGAGAATGATTTTAAAGAATGATTTCTCTCCCCCTGCCAGACTTGCAGCCGGTCACCTATTCGGAGCCGGCCTTTTGGTGTTCCATAGCATATTACGAACTCAACCAGAGAGTGGGCGAAACGTTCCACGCATCGCAACCTTCGCTGACCGTCGACGGCTTCACGGACCCCTCCAACTCGGAGCGATTCTGCCTAGGGCTGCTCTCCAACGTCAACCGGAACGCCACGGTGGAAATGACAAGACGGCACATAGGTAGCCGGGCTGGGTGGCCTTTCTGGTCCTGCCCTTCCCAGTTCAGTTTCCTTCCTTCCTTCCTTCCTTCCTTCCTTCCTCTCTCCCTTCCCTCTCTCCCCTTTCCTTTCTTCTTCCTCCCTCCCCCTTCCTTCCTTCCTTCCTTCCTTCCTTTCTTTCTTTCTTTCTTTCTTTCTTCCTTCCTTCCTTCCTTCCTTCCTTCCTTCTTTCCTTCTTCCTTTCTTCTTTCCTTCCTTCCTCCCACCCTCCTTCCTCCCTTTCTCCTTCCTTCTTTCCTTCCTCTCTCTCTCCTTCCCCCTTCCTTCCTCCCTCCCTCCTTCCTTTCTTCTTCCTTCCTTCCTCCCTCCCTTCNCTCTCCTCTCCTCTCCTCTCCTCTCCTCTTCTCTTCTCTTCTCTCTTCCCCTCCACTCCCCTCCACTCCACAAGTTGTGTAATGCTCCAACACTGGACATTTTTAACAAGAGACTGGACCGCCATCTGTCCGAAATGGTATAGGGTTTCCTGCCTGAGCAGGGGGTTGGACTAGAGGACCTCCAAGGTCCCTTCCAACTTTATTATTATTATTAAGGTCTACCTGTATTAAGAAAGGCACGTTGCTCCGGCCGGTGTGCTGTTTTCACAATGCCACAACGCCTTTTTTTTTTTTTTTAAAAAAATTCATTTCTTCTCTGCCCCTTAACCCCCCCACCCCTCCCCTTTTTGCCCTTCCAGGCGCCAAACGGTGACCAGCACCCCCTGTTGGATCGAGCTGCACCTGAACGGGCCTCTGCAGTGGCTGGACAAAGTATTGACTCAGATGGGGTCCCCCTCAGTGCGATGCTCCAGCATGTCGTAATCTCGGCGGGCTCAGAAGACGGAAGTCCTGGCAATCAACTCGACGCGTGGTCTCCATGAACTGTTTTTTCCTATCCCAAAAAAAAAAAAAAAAAAGTTCTGAGAGAGAGAGAAAGAGAGAAAGAAAGAAAAGAGAGAGGGAGGGAGAGAAAGAGAGAGAAAGCACTTGAGAATGTCATGAATTTTCAAGCACCTTGTGGATTCTGTTTCCTATACTCTGATACTAGGTGAAACGTTAGTGTATAGAAACACCTCCTTCCCCGAGGAGGGAGGGGGACATTTAAAGACTTTAATGGTGGGTTTTTTTTATTTTTATTATTATTATTATTATTATTATTATTGGGTACATATAAATCGAGTATCCTCCAGGTTTACCAGTAACATGGACAGTACAGTTAGTAATAGGTCAGGAAGCCCTCTCCGACGGAAGGCGGCAGTTACAGAGACCCAGCTTCAGCGGGCATCTCCTAAAAAAAAGCCTAAATACTTGGTTCGCCATATTGTTGTTGTTTTTTTTTATATATATTTTTGTATACATATCGGTTGCGTGTATGTGTGTGTGCGTGCGTGCGTGTGTGTGTGTGTGCAGGCTTTTCACTGCCCCAAAAGAAGTGTTTGCTACAGAAAGCCCCCAGTTTCCTTATCTTGAAATTGAGATTAAACTTGGGGGGTTTGATTCTTTCACATGAAACCTCGCTGGGGACTCAACTGGGTTCCCAATAAAGTGGAATTCCTTCCCTTTCTCACTCCTCGGATCGTCAACGGTCCGGTTTCGATCGTTGGGACACATCAGCAAGTGCATCTGTGGCTGGCCATCCCTGCAGGGGTCGTTGTGCATCCCTCACGCACTGACGGAGTAGCGTAGTAGTAAGCCGGTTTGGTTTTCAATAATGAGCCAATCCAAGTTTTCTCCTGAGCGGTGAATCGGTCAGCTTTTCTCCCTCGCCCCCTGCTCCTTCCAAGACACAAATGTCACTTGTTATCCCTTAGTAGTAGTAGTAGGTTTTCAAACCTTACTCAAGAGCAGTGTTTCTCAACCTTGACCATTTTAAGGCATGTGGACTTCAACTCCCAGAATTCCACAGCCAGCATTGCTGGCTGTGGAATTCTGGGAGTTGAAGTCCACATGCCTTAAAATGGTCAAGGTTGAGAAACCTTACTCAAGAGGGACAGCAGGATATCCTCAGAGTAGGCAAACCGTGATTGATCATTCTCGACCGGGATAAAAGGAGAAGGGCTGGTGTGTTATTTTCCTTAAATGCCTCCATCAGAAGGTTTAAGGGGACCCGCAAAGCCTGCACACACACACACCCCTGGAAATAGTGTGTGTTGTTGTTTTTAAACGACACGTTTGCTTGCTAGGCTTCTAAATCCAATCGACAAAGGGGAAGGCCAAACTGGGGGCTGCTTCTCCTGTTAACTTTCCGCTACGTCTGACAGGAGGAGGACGAGGAGTAAGCCCACCACGTCTCCCGTTTTACTGGAGACACGGGGGGGGGGGTCCCTGCTCCCCAAATTTCCAGCTTGGCAACTCGGGGTGTGCTTCTTGCAGATGGCAAAAAGAGAAAGGGCTGTACAAAGGGGCATTTGTCCCCCTCCCCAAAGGCTTTGGGTGGTGGAATCGAGGCACGAGCAGCCTCCAGGATCTGGCCGAAGAAGCCGTGGCTTCCGTGGGCCGCTTAGGGCTTGACCAAAGGAAGACCCTCCGCAGTACATGTTAGGGCAGGGGTGTAGGCCACCTTGGCTCTTTTGTGACTGGTGGACTTCAACTCCCAGAATTCCTGAGCCAGCCATGCTGAGGGGACAGGGAGAGGTTTCCAAGCTGAGCCATGCTGGCTCAGGAATTCTGGGAGTTGAAGTCCACCAGTCATGAGGGGGCCATAGTTCCCCTAGGCTGGCTCAGGAATTCTGGGAGTTGAAGTCCACAAGCCATGAGGGGGGCCATAGTTCCTTCATGCTGGCTCAGGAATTCTGGGAGTTGAAGTCCACCAGTCATAAAAGGGCCAAGTTTGAAGACCCCTGGTTTAAATATTTAAATATTTTTCCTCACGGTTACATGATCAAAATTCAGGCATTTGGGCAGGGGTAGGCCACCTTGGCTCTTTTATGACTGGTGGACTTCAACTCCCAGAATTCCTGAGCCAGCATGAGGGAAACTTTGGCCCCTTCATGACTGGTGGACTTCAACTCCCAGAATTCCTGAGTCAGCATGAGGGAAACTTTGGCCCCTTCATGACTGGTGGACTTCAACTCCCAGAATTCCTGAGTCAGCATGAGGGAAACTTTGGCCCCTTCATGACTGGTGGACTTCAACTCCCAGAATTCCTGAGCCAGCATGAGGGAAATTTTGGCCCCTTCATGACTGGTGGACTTCAACTCCCAGAATTCCTGAGTCAGCATGGCTCAGCATGGAAACCTCTCCAATTCCCCTCAGCGTGGCTGGCTCAGGAATCCTGGGAGTTGAAGTCCACCAGTCATAAAAGAGCCAAGGTGGCCTACCCCTGCGTTAAGGGTGAATCTTGGGACACTCCTACATCTGGACCTTGCTTCTTTTTTTTTAATAAATAAAAAAAACAAATAAAAATAAAAATATTTTGAATTATATTCTACAGATAACGTCTGGGTTGGGTTAAAGGAGGGTTTGGGGAAACTGTACAGAAAAGGGGTCTTCTGACTTGACTATACATCTTTGACTAACCATCTTGTGATCTTGGCTGTCTGTCCTCGTCGTCCTTGGCAGTGGCAGGGTTGCCTTTTCGTCTCGTTTTTTCTTTCCTCCTCCCACCCCCACCCCCCAAACAAAGGTTACTTTGCCACTAGTCTTGTACTTTGTAAGTACACCTAGTGGCAATTCCTAGCTTTGACAACTAATGTTTTGGCCAGTGTTAAGCTTTGTAATCGCGGCTGCCCGAACCAAAGGCGGCGAGGTTTTTTTTTTTCTTTTCAATTTTTTATTTTAATGCCGTAACAAAATAGGGCATAAGAGCAATACCAAATAAAAATAAAAAAAATGAATACAAAATTTTAAAATAAATAAATCACGGCGGGTGGGAAACCAAGCGGGCCGGGTAATTTAGGAGAACGGGCAAAGTTGCCAATTTGTGTAGTTTTACCAGTAGCGCCTCATTACATATTGGTAGAACTTGTAAAAAAATAAAATAAAAAATATAATAATAAGCGAGAGGAAAGCTTTCATCTGTGTTGCGTTTGCCTACTATGTGAATACACTAATAAAAGTTTTAATTCTCAACTTTTGGCTGGTGTGGTGCTTTCGCTCTGCCGGCAAGCTGGGCCTACAAGGGGGGGGTCTTAAATATTTATCGAAGTTACTCGGACATTACTCCTGAATTGTATCCGAAGAGTGAGAGGGAAGAAAGGAGAGGAGAGAGAGAGAGAGACAGAAGAGAGTAAAGGACGGGGGAAGGAAGTAGGAAGGTTGGAGGAGGAGAAGAAGAGAAGTGGAGAGAAATGAGAGTGGTGAAGGAAAGAGGAGAGGAGAGGAAGAAGAGGGAAGTAGGGAAGAAAGAAAGGGAGAAAGAAGGTAGAGAAGAGGGAAGAAAGAGTATGTGGATACAGTGAAACGGGGAATGAGCGAGCAACACCAAAATTTATTTTATTAAGAGTATCTGATAAATAAGAATGTAAAAAGAATGTATGTTAACACGTGATAAAATATTGCGGTAGATTTGTTGATATGTATGGGGGAGAGTTTGGAAAAATAAAAAAAAAGTTCCTTAAATATATATATTTATTGAACGCAAGCTCAACGGTTCCCGGGTGTGAAGATCTGGGTGCCGGATCAGAAGAGGACTCCGTAGTAGCACATCTGGATGTGATACCACATCTGTAACTGAGCCAAGGCAGGCAAGGATCAAGGTTGTCTTGTCGTGTGTGAGCCCAGAAAGTTTCTCTGAAGTTCTGGCTAACAGTCTGGATCAGGGGTCTTCAAACTTGGCCGCTTTAAGACTTGTGGACTTCAACTCCCAGAATTCCTCAGCCAGCCCTCAGGGCTGGCTGAGGAATTCTGGGAGTTGAAGTCCACAAGTCTTAAAGCGGCCAAGTTTGAAGACCCTTGGTCTGGATTCTGGTGGCCCAGCATGGAGTGATGGTGGCCCTCTGGGAGCACTGGGGAAGGGACCCCCACCAGGGCTTGAGCAGGGGAGGGCTGTTCACCTCCATACGGTGTGAGCAAGGTGGGTTGTTGATGTGACGTTGAATGTTTGTGTGTGTATGAGAGTGAGAACCAAAGTGGAATCCACCTTCAGCCAGGTAAACTTCCTTGGGGACTTTAGCCAATCATTCCAGTCAATGGTACATCCCAGGATTCAGGAAAAATGGCGGATGGGAATGCTGTGGTCAGTTTTAGGCCGGTTTTCCATGCCTAACCTAAAGCAGGACTAGAACTTGCCGTCTCCTGGTGGTGATTGGCCCAAAGTCAGCCACTTTCATGCCTAAGGCGGGACTGGAACTCGCCGTCTCCTGGTGATTGGCCCAAAGTCACCTAGCCACTTTCATGCCTAAGGCGGGACTAGAACTTGCCATCTCCTGCTGATTGGCCCAAAGTCACCTAGCCAGTTTTTGTGCCTAAGGCGACTAGAACTCGCCATCTCCTGGTGATGATTGGCCCAAAGTCACCTAGCCACTTTCGTGTCTAAGGTGGGACTAGAACTCGCCGTCTCCTGCTGGTGATTGGCCCAAAGTCACCTAGCCACTTTCGTGCCTAAGGCAGGACTAGAACTCGCCATCTCCTGATGGTGATTGGTCCAAAGTCACCTAGCCGGCTTTCATTCCTAAGGTGGGACTAGAACTCGCCGTCTCCTGCTGGTGATTGGCCCAAAGTCACCTAGACACTTTGGTGTCTAAGGCGGGACTAGAACTCACCGTCTCCTGCTGATTGGCCCAAAGTCACCTAGCCGGTTTTTGTGCCTAAGGCGGGACTAGAACTCGCCATCTGGTGGTGATTGGCCCAAAGCCACCTAGACACTTTGGTGTCTAAGGCGGGACTAGAACTCACCGTCTCCTGCTGATTGGCCCAAAGTNTCGTTTCTTTGTAGATAATAGTTGGATGTTCATATGCCCCCTTTTTTTTGAGTTTTTGCAGTCC